CACAGAAGCGTAGTTGCACTACGTGAAATCTCACGGCCTACATGAAATGAAATAAAGTCGTTATTTTTGTTTGTTTTTTGCGCACAAAAAGTATTCTCGTCACTTGATAAACTTAAGATTGAGCCACTGTAGTCACTCGGACTATTTTAACGATGTCTTTCATAACTTTTGGGCCGGCCAGTTTCGATTCCTTAAAGGGATACTCCACCCAAAAATTTAAATTCTTATTGCAAACCTATGAGTTTCTTTATTCTGTTGAACACAAAGGAAGATATTTTGAAGAACGATTGGAACTTTGGCACCATTGACTTCCATAGTATTTTTTTTCTAATATGGAAGTCAATGGTGCCAAAGTTCCAATCGTTCTTCAAAATATCTTCCTTTGTGTTCAACAGAAGAAAGAAACTCATACAGGTTTGCAACAACTTGAGGATGAGAAAATGATGACAGAATTTTCATTTTTGAGTGGAGTATCCCTTTAAGAAGCCTATGGAGGAGCGAGACAGCTCTCAAACGAAAGTCTTATGGGGTTGGAACAACGTGAGGGAGAGTAATTACTGACAGAATTTTTTTGGGTGAACTAACCCTTTAAGGGATGTAGAAAAAGCATTAATATGGGCTTTATAAGTATTAATAAACAGCCAACATCCTAGTAATATGTAAACCAATAAGCATAATAGTAATAGTGAGAATGGACACCAAACATTAGTGTTACCAATTACAATACATTCTATAAAAATGACAAATATCACATTCTCATACTGATTTACTTGACCTTTAATGAGCCTTTTTTGATTATGAATGGTTTTGGTATCTAGTTGCTTCAATTCTTTTCTTTTTTTAAGAAGAAAAACTTTTACAAAATCCTTTAAAAACATAATAAATCAGGGATTAGTGTAAAAATACTGTGTTGAAAACTGAATAAGAAATGACCACTGCAAATACTGTTATTTGTGTAGTTAGGGTTGATTTTCTTATGGAGGAATTTATTAAGCAGTGGCATCACTTACATTAAATTATGTAATTAGACAATTAGTTAATGCAGTTATAGGTTTCAGTGCGAAAAATCAGCAATCATGACTACAGCATACCTACTGCCACATGACAATGTTTTTAATCTAACAACAACATTACAGCCCTGCATTTTTGTTTGAATAGTGTCACACCTCATGACTTTCTCATGCCCTTTACAGTTAACAGATTTGTTATCTGATCTTCCTGGTTGAACAAGTACTGCTTCAAAGGTGCCCAAATAATTATCATTAAAAAACTTAAAATGTGTTTATGTGCAGGAAACCTCTGATTTTAATGAACGTAAATGTCAAAATTTAGGACTTATTTTCAGTTTATGCAAGTGAGAAAAGAGCAGTTAAACTGGTTAAACTCGAGCATACATTGATTGCAAACAGGCTGCCTGATTAGCAGGGAAAACGACTTCAAAATGGTTTACAACTTTTTAAAGTCACCATTAAATCAGATGAAGTGTTTTTCTGCGCGAGACACAACCTGTCACTCTTATCAGATCACAGCAAGCAAACAACAACAATCCAATGATTCAATCAATTCCCCATGGACAAACTCAGGTCCCACCCTACATTTTTTATTGTTTGAAAAAAGCCTCTTCACCCATTTATACATCACAATATGGAAGAAAAGACTAAATCACACCTTCCTCTTTATGCTGACTGACTTTAAATACATGACACCAAATGTGGTTTGTGGATGGTTTTCAGCTATCAGTTCCAGCATGGGTAAAACTTCAGTCCCTGCAAATCTAGCATGACTGTAGTAATTTTAGTGCTGAACAGAGAGCAATGCCATTTTCCCACATATTGATTAGTCTTTTTGAAAAGTAGACAATTAGCAATTTCCTTCTTTAGATTGATATTCTCATGTCTTCTCGTATGATGATTCACAAACACTAGCACACATTAACAGTTACATAAACCCCTGTACAAATCTCTTTTACACACATTCCCATTCTTTATCTATCCACAACAAACTGAGTTCAACCATAAACAACACAGAGAATCGGTAGACATCCCAAATCACAGAGGCCCTGTAAGACCACCCAGACCAAAAGCACATGGCCCAATTGACCACAATGACATCAGGCTCTTTACTCCCATCTAACAAGCTTATCTCAGTCTCTTTCTCAGCTGATCTCTTCAGGCCTGCAGTTTACCCTCATTCAAAGGGATTTTATGAGTCAGGCCACAGCTACTTCTTGCTTTAGGAGAAATCTGGTCTGTTTGAAGCGATATAAAGGGCAGGGCATGAGAGAGATGGCAGAGAGTCTTTATGGCCCTAGTGTAACTAAAGATGTTGAGAACTGAAAAAGAGTGTGTGTGGCCTGGATTAACAGCTGGGTGTTTAACTCTCACTCTCAATAGGTGGGGAAAGAGATGAGACACAGACCTGCGTACGTGCATTTTTCTCCAGCTGACGTGCAGTGGAAAACAGCTGTGTAAATGTGCATGCACACCACAAACACACACAGGCTGAATCTGAATGTGCAAGCTTTGAGCGACAAGCTTTCTTTAAAGCCAGAATTTAAATAAAAGATGTTATATAATACAAACATATTTAATTTGGCTTTTAATAGGAAACTTAGGAATTTTTGCAGTCATTTAGATGTTTAAAAAACAATGTAAATGACCAATAGGACTTTTGATAGGCAAAAACAATTACGATCAGATAAGCTCTTGGGAAACAGAAACTTTCTATATCCGAAAGCTTGCTGTAATATAATGTGCATAATATAATAGCACCAGATCAATGTGTCACACAAATCACCATATTCAGGTTGAGATTAACACACTCAGCCCATAAATTGTCATCATCCCCGTCTTCTTCACTGCCGCCACTTGGGTTCCTCTCCATCACTTACGCTGTGATTTGTCATCTGTTGACTCGCAAGCTGCGAGAGCTCATCCATCAGCTGAGAAATCTGTCCACTTGGACCTCATTCAACTGATCTTCAAAAATCACAAGATTGTCTGTCTCTCTCCGCAATTACTATCAGTATTTACAACGTGACACCGAGCCAACAAGAATCAACAGCCAGAATATGAACTCACATCACATGAATGCAAATTGTTGGCACTTTCCTCATTCTTAAATTTTTCACAGCACCAGGTTATTTAATAAAACATATGATTAGTGATAATTACATGATCAAAACCGTTCATCATCCCTCTCCAGCTGTACAAAAGCAACAAGGCATGCCTCTTTCAGGAATGAGATAAATTTATGGTATGCACAAAAAAACAGGTTACCGTGTCTGCCATTTCCACTATAATGAGTGATTCTATCTTAATAGCAAACATTAGAGGCAAGCACTGGAAATCAAGCCTGTTCCTACTCTGTTTACCACTTGGTAAGCACAGGCAGGCCAATTAAACCTAAACCACTTAAAGAGAAGAATGAAGCCATAAGCCCTCCATGCACACTCATAGAGGAATGTGTTAATTATCAAATGCATCAGCAGGTTGCCATGGGTTGCAAAACTAAGCACCTGGAGATTTGGTAACATTGTGACTGACCGCACTGATATTAGAAGAGGTTACTTACTGGTTTATATTGACATTTAAGCATTATCAAAATTAGCAAAAGTGTTGTTGTACTTATAAGCATGGATCTTTCAAGTCATGAATACCAAGAATTGTGTATTACATGAAACTACATAAAATCCCATTCAAAATAATAATCCCCCTGATGTTGTTCCAGCTAGTCAAAAACAGTTGTCTGAACAACAAATTGAAAAGTATTACAGAAATGTTAAGGGTCTGTCAGTTCCCATACACTGACTGCAGCATGCGTTCATGATGGAGTTACTGTTATAGGATTATTGTTTTGCTGTTTGCTGACTTTTTCCATATTAGTTGATTGTCACCATTGTTGAGGACTGTGTGTAGGTCTATATAAAGTGTACTAAACCACAAGTGTGATAATACTTTTATACAACAGCACACAACAAGTAATTGTTTTCAAATAAATAAAAAAATCTCAGTAACCACATTTATTTATTATCCGGTTCCACCAATGAAAATATTTCCCCCAAAAAGCAGAAAAATCAAGATAGCTAGCTGTGCATGTCACCAAACAATAATATGCATTCAGTTAATTCATGTAAAAATGAACAGCCTATCAATTAAAGCAAACCGAAATAACAGCAAATGGAGACTAGTTACTCTGATAACCAGTTGAGAATTTTGTGACTGCAGAAAGGACAAATGCACGAGTGAAAATGTATTTATGTATGAGTAGGCATGCATATTTGAAAGCACTGCCTCCGTGATCCATTCATTTAGCCAAATCACATAATGGCTCCTGATAGAAGAGAAACGTTACACCCAGATGTCAAAATGATCCTTCACCACGCTCGATAATTGTACTGAGAATAGGAGACCGTGTTTCTCTGGAAATATGAGTCTGAAATGTAATTATCCAGCCTTTGGAAAATGTAGGGCAGACAGAAGACAGCGCAATGATATAAAACTGCACTCAGTTGGTAACTAATGTCAAGCTCTGGGTTTAACTGAGTGAGCACAAGATACCGGAGCCGTAAATCAAATAAACACTATCTAGCCTTAGGTAATTGCGCTTTTAGGAATGGTTAGAAAGAGTCCATGGCGCGCGCGCACACACGCACACGCACACAGTGACACACAAAAAAACCCCACATGGATATAAAAACCAACAGTAATTGTTTCCGAATTAGATTAACCATGATGCTCTTCACATTGCACTTATTTCCCCCCCTCAAATTATGTTAAAGCTTAACTTTTGCATGCTATAATAATCTACTGAGCATGCACTGCAGGGCCAGGGAATGCCAGTGAATCATGTTGTTTGCCAGTTACACAGATGGGAAAAGCTCAGTGCTGCCAAGTGTCTGCTGACTGCATTAAATCCTCTGATGAAAACACGCAACACGGTCGGAGATCACAACATATGCTCAAGAATAAATTACGGCAACACATAAGCTTCAATCTTACCCCGGGATCCAGTTATTTACGGATGACATTCGACGAAATCATTTAGCATCAATCCACAAGACCGAAATGCATGGTTAAAGATCCTCTGGTCCGCGACAGAAAGTGGCCAATTCAACACGGGCAGCCGGAGAGACACCAACACCAGATTCAGATTGAGCAGTAACGTTAGCGTCTATCGCACTGGTTTCTCCGCCAACTAGCCCCGCCCCACTATTTTACATCAGCACGGAAGCCTTCTTCCGATTGGCTCTCGGTTAGACTAGGACGCGTCTAGCAGCGCTTTCGACCAATCATTAAATAAAAGAGGCGGGATATCGAGTTGGAAGTCATGCGGGCGGATGCGATGCATGACGTCAATCCTTTGTTACCTTGCCGACCCCTTTCATCTGAAACAGCAGATATCTACAAGCCCAAAACATTGCGTATTAATTCATAAACATCTTGGTGCAGACTTTAAGAAGCTTGTTGCATGGGGGTTTACATGTACAGAAAGCACTATTCAAGGCAAACACAATCGTTAGTAGGCTATTAAAATGAAGCAGGTGCATTTCATAAAATTCAGCATTCAGATTAATTTTAATGAAGCAACGGCTATAGCTACTTGCTGCATAGGTTCCCTATGAAGTCATGTAATTTCTTTACACTCAAAGGCTTTATAACGACTTCATCTGGCTACAACTGATTTATGACAGAGCAAGTGTACATTGCTATCCAAATGGCCAAGCGTCGTTCACAAAACCCGTGCATGTATGTGCATGTGGATCGCAGTCAATTCCCCACAAACCATAATAAGCCATCTAATGATATGCGGCTTTATAACTTTCCACCCACCAGCCAATCTGCTGTCGGCTGTCAAAACCCACAGCTTCAAATACCGCACTGCTTCTCGGCGGAGAAATCCCCGGTGACATTTCGAGACAACGCCTTTGATATTCAGCAAAGGTCACGGACATACATTTATATCATTTTCCCCCGGAGAGGATCAAATGCGAAGTCTGCAGTCTGCCTTCTAAAAGGCCCTGAAACAACACCAAGTAGCCTATCCATAAAAATGCAGCGCCTTTGCTTTAGATGAAAATTTCCTGAGAAAAAAAGAACATTGCGAGCCATTTGTGAGAAAATACACATCACAGTTACAAGAACTGCAGCTAAATATCCATTCTTTCATGAGGATTTAGCATTCAGTAGCCCCAAATTAACATTGAAATAAATGCAACTCACATTTAGCGGATTTTAAATTCGGTGTATTTAACTATTGTTTTTTAAAGCACTGACGTCAATCCCGTGTTGGCCTACATTAGAAGGCCAAATGCTTGTTAACCATCTCTTCCCCACTAAATGAAATAGAGAGCTGACTCCTTTGTTGCTCCATAAGCCTGATGGAATAGATGGATAGGCTAGCCAAAGCAGCCGTGCACAAAAATCATCATTCAAATGTTGTACTTACTCTCCGTGGATCATAGCATTATACATTGCGCAGAACATCGTATTGGATTTGCATTATTTGGATTCGGTGTTTTGATTTTTTTTTTTTCTAGTGTTGTTGGTCTGCGTTGCCGAATCAGTGTAGCTGTCTGCGGCAGCAACTTCCGGCGCATGCGCTACAGCGCTCGCGTCACAGACAATGGCTGTGGTCCAAACATTTTCTTTCTTATATGGATAAAATTGAATGCAATTTAAAACAACACAGGGGCAAAAGCAATTAAATTCGCACACAAATGTAAATGTTGCATTTACAAAATTCCTGCTTTCAGCATTATTAGCCCAAATATGATTTCTGCAAAAGGCAGTTTTTGTCTCCAGCCAATCCCACAAATCTTCCCTGAGTCTGAGTATGACTTGTTTATTCTAACTTCACATCTGAGTATTCTTTTAGCACGTCTTTCTAGATAACTTGCAAATAAAATCACGATAGTCAGCTTGGTGAATGTCATTTGTGAGATTATTCTTATAATTACTCTCGGAGACAGAAAAGTGACAAAATTTATTTTATTAATTGTATAGTTCATCCAGTTACACAATCTTTAGCTCTATCAGAAATAATAGCTTGAAAAACATGACAATAATCATATTGTCTGAAGAAGGATTACCTTAGCCTAACTAAAATATTTACCTTGATGGTTATCAATGATAAATAAGGGTAAGTATATAAGTATATATAAGTTATTTAAGGGTAGAAGACACCAAACACTCAGTTCATGCTTTGCTAGAAGCATAAACCACAATCACCTTTTCATAACAGTTTTTATTCTTGCATATTCTCACTTACTTAGTAAGTTTACCCTTGTGGTACAATAGTATAACCAGAGCATAAAAATATGCCCACTGGTGTCAATTTGTTACAATGTTATGCAAAAAAAAAAAAAAAATTCTAGCAAAACATTTTGGTAGACAACAACTGCATTTTCCCACTAGAAAAAAAGCAAGTAAATATATCAGAACAAACGCTCCTGCAGCCAGACGGTTGTAAACCCGTCAGATTTGTTATTTATTAGCAAATTTAATTATGGATGTTTTTTGTTTGTTTTTTGTTTTTTTGAGACAGTTGCAATTTGACAGTTGCCTCATACATTCCCGGACTCGACAGGTAAAGTTAGGCTCATAGACTGTAAAAAATACGCTAGGCTTTTAACAAATAGTCCATGCTATTTCAAAGATTTTAAATCTGGAAAAAACCCGTCGGGGCTTCGAATGGAACGCATCTACTGTACTTAAACGTCCTACAGGTGAGAAAATAGCTGTGGGAAATAAATATAATTTTACATTTACTAGAACACAACATAACAATCGCACTCCGTTCGCCATTTTGCCGGAAGCCAATTCTTCTTCTGTTGTCAATTATTGCTGAAACGCAAGCAGAGTGTGCATATATCGTCACCTACCGGTCTAATATACAATCTCCGTATATAAACACAACTCATTAGGTGTAAAGTATCACATTTCTTGTGTGTTAAAACGAAGGATCCACATTAGAGGACAAGAAAAACTATCAAATTTGTTTTTTTGTTTTTTTTTGACAGACAAGCCTAAACATCAAACGCATAGCAACCTGATCCTAATACATTTTTCATCTCCCCTATATTCTTTACCCCACCCCTTTAACATGCAGTACATTTCACTCTTTTAAATGTCCACTTTTATACACCCCGATATTAATAATTAATTCTTTCTGTCCCAGGCCAGCTCATAGCCTACTCCAATAATAATTCATGCTGTTTCTAAAAATAATATTCTTATCACAGAAAGAGATGATTGATAGAAACAAAGATCTATCTATCTATCTATCTATCTATCTATCTATCTATCTATCTATCTATCTATCTATCTATCTATCTATCTATCTATCTATCTATCTATCTATCTATCTATCTATCTATCTATCTATCTATCTATCTAGATAGATAGATAGATAGATAGATAGATCTCTGACTCCATCCCACACAAGCCCTGTCAAATATTTCTCACGTCATTTCTGTTCCCACATGCCAACGCCTCCACGCATCAAACTTTCAGCTTGCCATATCTTTATGTACATTCCATATGCTTTCGATTATACCTGACACCCTCCATACACGCTGCACCATGGAAAGCAGCTCAGTTACAACAGTGGAGCCCATCAGTCACTTGACATTTAAAATGCTCTCCCCATCACATTTTTCACTTCTCATCTGCACACTCCTGCTACATGTCCTGTATGCTGACACCTACCAGCTTAGGATCGGAGGAATGATATTAATACCTATGCGGGAAGTCATCCCTCAGACTGAATTACTGTAAAACACTCTATGTCTATCTTCAGTAATTCCATTCTATGATCCTGAACAGACTCATGTTACTTCTTTTAAGGTTTACACCAACGTCTTCACCCGAGATTATTTCATGTTCATTATGTCAAGTTGTTCTTAAGCAGGCCAGGATGCACAATATATCTATCATATCAGTCATCAGCCAATATTTTTTTTAAGTGCCCACTTACGCTATTTTAAATGTTCTTATTTTGAGTTGGAGGTCTTCAACAATAGGTATGATACCACTTTAATTTTTCATAATACACTTCACAAAACCTCTGAAAACAGTTTGTTCAAAGATTCAGTCTCTAAACCCCTCCTTTCTGAGAGCCTCTCTGTTCTGATTGGTCAGATGGCCCAGTTTGTTGTGATTGGTCTACCACTTATAGTGTGTGTCGGAAATGAAATGCCTGACACACAGTGATACGAATGATGGCGTGGGTTTTTCCATACAATTTCCAATTCCATAAAATCAAGTCCTCGATCATCCCAAGTGCATACAAAGCAGTTTCGCAGTGCTGAAAACAGTGTCTTCTCGACATGTCAACAATAAGAATCAAACTCTTTCAGGCCTCAGCTAAAACTATAGTTTTTGAAGGCGGGTCAAAATAGGTGTTGTTCGTTATCAGCCAATGAAGACCATAGGCTGACATTATGCAAATTTGTTACATTGCAACTTAGATTTGTAACAGGAAGGAACTGAATTTTCCCTCCTTCCCTTCTTTTCTGGTTCCACTTGCTAAAAGTCATACATTTTGAACACTCAATGTGTGGTCCTTAATGCGGCCAGCGACACCACTGCAGTTTTAAAACAGTTTTTGATAGAATGAATAATGATATTTATGCTTTTAAACTGGACGCACATCCTCTCAGAAAATCATCATCATGATTATCATTACTAAGGCATTGTGTGATTCATAGGCAGAACTGTATGGCGATCAAGAATAATTATTCTCATCTTTGCCATTTAGAAATAAGAAAACAACGGTTCAGACTAGCATTCAACGTGCTCGGAAATCATTTCAGGGTCACAAGGCTTTCTGAAATGAAAAAGCCATTATGTGCACATGAATAATGAAATATAGAAATCTTGAGCTTGAAGCTCAATTATTAAGGTTATGATGGCTGATCCTAGACCAGTAGAAAAGTCATTTTTTTTCCATCCACAAAGCCTCAGGCAGCTGAGGGGAAGTGCTCAGCAGTGTGCTTCATCACACAATAATACAACGTTAATGACGCAGGATGGTGTCTTTCTTTGGCCTTGAAAGACTTCAAGGCAGGATGTTTAAGGAACGGTAGTCCTAATTATGCTTTTTATGCTCAACTCTGATGTGATTGACTGTTTCAAAGGAGATGCATTATCGATCCACTTCACAGACAAGTTGTATTGATTGCGAAATCCCGATAGAGTATGATTTTTCTCCCTCCTCTTACTTTCTCCGTCTTTCTCTCTCCCACTCCAATCAGAGAACGAACTTAGAATCAGGGATGGAAAATATGACCTCTGGGTGCTTTTTAAAATGATCCTCTCGAAAGCGTTTTGATGAGGATGTGACCGAGGATGGCCCGGCTGCGTTTCTTTGTGTGCCGTGCTGCAATCATGTGTAATGGCTGAGCAAGTCTGTGCCTGAGTAGCAGCTATACCCAGCACGGCTCTGCCAGCTCCTGTTATACGCCTGTCGTCGTGTACTCAACATCTCTGCAGCTTTGTTTTTCCTCCTTGCCTGCAGAAAGGTCGTAGTGCTGTGCTGTAACTGCAGGACATATTTATCTTTGTGTGTGTGTGTATCTGTCTCCACTGCAAAAGACGAGGAGAGACCTACTGAAATATACAAGACCTGTGAGAACTATTTTCATTATAGTCAACTTCTCTTATTTGTTTAACCATTTAAAATGATCCAAGCCAAGACCAAAACCTGCATATTTACAAATCTTACAATACGATTTGTTTATTTGTGACATTTTAATTATGACACTCAAATTAATTATTTTAATGTGACATTATGTTTAACGTATTCAGCCCTTGTTCCTCAGAGGCTCTGTTTTTTTTCTGGATAAAAACCATATAATTAAAGGATGAATATTCAGATGGTCATAAGACTTATGGGAAAATGAAGACTAAGAATTTAGGGGTAAATTACCAGGATACGACGAAGACACATAAAATCCCACATGACACCAGACAGAAAGTTCATCTCACAAAGCTCATGCAAACAAGGAGTCTTTTTAGAGAAGAGAACAACAAGGCCATATACAGTATTTATATGTCCAAGTTACGGTACACTGTAAAAAAATATTGTTGGTTTAACTTAAAAAAATAAGTAACCTGGTTGCCTTAAAATGTTAAGTTCATTGAAATTGAAAAATTGAGTTAATACAGTAAAGGAGATTAATTTAATCACCAGAAACTCAAAATATTATGTTATCTGAACTACATAAATTATCTAAGTTGACTTGACAAAAGAAAAAATGTTGTGATTACAAATCATAAAAATGTTTTTTTTTTTTTTTTTTTTTTTTTTTTTTTACAGTGTATATAACAGCACAGGCTGTAATGTGGGGTAAAGGAGTTATTATTCAAAAAGTTCCATGTGGAACATTATGTCTATAGAGTTTGCTAATGGTGACCTAGTTGTGAAGTGGAAATTTCTTTTGTGGCTGCATAAGACCTCAAAATTACAGATGATGTGTGTGTTGTGAATGTAACGCATGGCCACATGCATTTCTTCAACAATTAGCGGTGGACCTTCATGCAATCTTACATTTCAAATCATATGAAATCAAATGAAATTACCACCTCGTAAAAGAGTAGGTTATCCCATGAGATTGGGTTACGTTATCTAATACAGCAATAGTAGGCCTACCTAATTAAGGAACCAAAGATTTTTAAAGGTCCTGCAAAATGTCTCTATGACATTCATTTGAAATTAACGAATACCTAATTAGTGCTTTAAAATACAAATATCACAGAATAAATGTTGGATTAGCATTTGTCTATGCAGCTATAATTTCTGATAGTGCTTCGCAAATGATCTGTTAAGGAGGGAATGTCAGACAAAATCTATCTGAGCAGAGGTCTTGTTTAGGTGAATGGTGCATGTGTATGTGATTGTATCTGATATGTGTGCCTGTTTATTGATTTAATGTGGCTACTTTTTCTCTACTTCAGTCAAACTCTTAATTTTCCTTGCATCCTGTTGGGTTTTGCAAGTTTTCTCTGAGCTGATATGCTGACAGATTGTGAACCACCTGATATCCTTTCTTCTCCCCAGTGGAAGCCTTTTTCCGCTCTGCTCAACTCCTGGTGGACTGGCTTTTGATGCGAGCTGGAAAAACACATCTGTTCTCTCTGATTTTACCTGAGCGGATGAAAACAAGATCCGCTGCTCTGATTGGGGATCATATTCTCAGCTCTCTGGTCCTAATAGGCTCATTTTATCACAAAACAACTTTGATTCAGTAGTCTCTTTCATACTAGTGATTCCCAACCCTTTTATCTCCAAGCTGTCTGTCAAAATAAATATTCAAATATTCAGCCATCACGCAAGTCCTTCTTCTTTAACTAGCTGAAATGATAGCAAAGGTTCTTGCTTTTTATTAACATAAGCTCTTGTGGACTAAATATCAAAATATTAATAATTATGGAAGACTAGCTATCGCGGCGTCCGTCACAGCGCCCGAACAATAGATGGCAGTAGTGTGTAATAAGATTCATCATTTCAGGTCACGCGGTATAGAAGCAACATGTCAGCGCCCTGAACACATGTGTAAATAAAAATGGAGAGTCGAATAACCTTACCCAAGGGTTAACAAAATCAAAACGTTTTGAAAGTATCCACTTGTACAGTGGAAACGGATTTCAGAAATGACCTTACGGCTATCCGAGACGTTTGTACGCAGATCTCTGTTATTTTCAACGATCCGCAAACTGACAGCAGCTCCAAAACAATCGCCACTGTATCTGCGAGTATCAGGTGATTTGTAGATTATACACAGTTTATTTACTGAACTTGTATATCTCCTACAGACGTGCTGTTTTTTTTAAGAATATGCTAGACGGCAAACTGGCTGGTTTTAGTTTTATTCCCCACCAGAAATAAAACTAAATGCATAGATAAACAACAACGTCGTCAGCCATGTAATAATAGCTTCCATTTTACCTGTCGCTTGTCCTTTATTTGTTCACTTCACAGGTTGCTCAGTTTTTCGTCCACAGACCGTAAGGAAATGTCTCTTTCACTGTACTCCGGCCAGTTTGGTGTCTTCAGATGCTTTTTTGGACAGATTGCAGAAGGGGAGACCGGTTGTGTCCTCTCATGAGGGTCTCTATCACCCTATCTCTGTTTCATCAGACAGCGGTAAGAATATCTCCAGCCCTTCCCTATCCCAGCTTCGTGACTGTTGTTTTAGAGATAACATGTGGAAAACTGTACTTTGAATATTATCTTAACGGATTTTTATGATGTTATAGCCTAGTCGTTAAACTAATTTTGTGATTGACTGTGTATGTGTGTGTGTGTGTGTATTTTCTGCTATCAGGTCATCAATTTTCCTTATTGCTAAAGGAACCTGATCAACCTGAAAATGCCAAATCTCTTAAAGTAGCAATAGTGGGCTCACCGAATGCAGGGAAGTCCACACTGACCAATCAGTTGCTGGGTCGGAAGGTGATGATATACTATTATACGAAAAAAAAAAAAACTCTTTAAGAACTTAAGTCTTTTGTCTTAACTGTCAGAACACCATTTTCTTACAGTTGTTTGCGGTTTCTGAAAAAGTGCACACAACAAGAGCACGTGCTGTTGGCGTCCTGACAAAGGATGACACACAAATCGTAAGTACCTCATCTAGCCCATGCTAAATGTACAAATAAAAGTCTAGTCTGTTTAGGAAATATCCAATGTTTGATTTGCCGACCATCTTTTTATCAGATTCTGTTGGATACCCCTGGCCTCACCACACCAATAAAGGCTAAAAGGTGAGTATGTAGGTGTATGAGTGAACGGTGTATAATTGTTTGCATGTTAAAAATACTTTCTCCTGTCTCAGTTTAATATTCAGAAATCTACTCAGAAACTAATGTTGATTGTTTTGTTATGTGTTTAACAGACACCACCTGGAGAAATCACTCCTAGTGGATCCTTTTGAGTCACTACGAGAAGCTGATCTAGGTAGCAAAATCTTAGTTTTCTTGTTTATTTTTTTAGTCTGTTAAAAGAAAAATACAACACAAAGTCAGTATTCATCTTTGTGTGATGGTATTGTCATGTTGTTATTTGGGCTGACCTCTAGTAGTCAACTAAACGTTAGTTGACTAAATGATGCAGAGTCAACCAAAATTGTATTTTAGTTTAGGTATTTTAGGTTAGTCGCAGAAAACAAAAAACCTCAGCAGAAAGTCACTCATTCCGCGAGGGACTGACATATCATTAACGGCGGGTCCTTGTGGTAATTACTAGAGCCCGACCGATAAATGATTTTGAAGGCCGATACAATATTTTTGGGTTTTAAAATCCGATATATCGGCCGATATTTATTTATTTTGTTTATTAAATTTTGTTGGATTTCTCACACGTGTAAAAGAAAAGCTAACTTTTCTGCACAAGATATGTTTGATACTTTTTCTCTATGTCTAAATGTTCACTCCTCGCAAGTATAACTTACATTTTACAATGCAGGGACTGTAACTAGAGATATGCTAGTTATAAATACAGTAATAATTACTTTATTTAGGCAGAAAAAGTTAATTGTGGTTTCCAAGCTCATTAATGTTAACGTTAGCGGTCTTCCACTGATGATAGTGGCATTAGCTAGCTTTGTGGCTAGCTAGTCTATGATGAGCCATAATTTAGCAATAGATAACATCATACTGCAAATTGTAAAACATACATTTTCAATATAACAGGCCAAAGAGAGATGATTAAAGCGTGTTTTGTCCGTTTTTATTTTATTTTTTAAATATTCATTTATCGGCCATTTCTAACTGCCGATACCGATATTATGGAAAATGCCTAATATCGGCCGATATATCGGTCTGGCTCTAGTAATTACAGTATGGCGGGTAGGAAATCTAAACGTTCGCCTTTCATCCATCGACCTCAAATATGGCTTATCATTTCAAACATGCAAGTAGTAGCAACATTACTTAGCTGCTTGCTCTAATGTAAGCCTAGTTAAATGTGCACTATTATTAAGGTGATGATACACGGTGCAACTATTTTGAGCGATGTTGTCGAACGATTGAGAATGGGCAACGCGTATATGGATACTTTAGATCGGTCGTGGGCCCTGTGTCTCACTTGATGGCAACATTGCCCAAAAAGTTGCCCTGTGTATCATCACCTTTAGTCGCCTTTACAAGTGTTCGTGCGGAGCAATCACTTGCATTTTTTTCTTGATAACAGCAGAAACAACTTAAACTACTCAGTCATTTATGGTCTTTCAGATAATAGTAATAAATATTTCAAAATAAACCCACAATAACAAACCGATGTGCTTTGTAAAATACAGAAAACAAACAGGATGTGCTTTCTGCCGTCTCGGTCTCCGTGAACTGGAGCGAGCAACGAAAATGAACCGAAACTCAACATAGGCTAGATATGATAAATATATCCATAGAAATGTCTGCTTTTAAACAAATCATTTCAAATCTAAAACAAATTCTCTCTGCTTATATAGTCCGTATGAAAGGTCCATTCAAATAAACACTTGTTTATTAATAAATAATTCAAATTATGTACATTTTATAGTATGAATATAGTCCTTTGAATATAGTCTTGGACAAAGACGGGCCTTGGAGGAAAAAAAAAAGAGAACCACTGGATTATGACTCATGAGCTGCATCTTCTTTTTCTCCATGTCTCCTGTGTATTTGCAGTGGTGGTGTTAGTTGACATGTCTGATAAATGGACCCGCAGTAAGCTGGACTATGAGGTTCTGAAATGTCTGGCCCTGAACTCTGATGTCCCTGCCATCCTTGTCCTCAATAAGGTATTAGCTATGTCATTTTGTATCGATCTCTCCCAGTCTTGACCGTAGGAATAATTTGTGGAGGAAATTACCATCGCTTCTTTTTTCTGGATGTCCCATCTCTCGTCTGACAGAGAGAGGGGGGTTGTATTGCTGCAATTGCCATCACAGAAATGAATGTCACTATCCAACTCAATGAATGATTTACATCTGGGCTGGTACTTTAAAATAGATAATAAAGCAAAGCATCGACTCTTAATGCACAGGTGGACCTTCTGAAGAACAAAACGCTGCTGCTAGACATCACGGCACAGCTGACTGAGGGGGTGGTGAATGGAAAGAAGATTAAGATCCGTGGCGCAGTGAAACAATCTATGAAATTAGCAGCTGAACCACACAACACCGAAAAAACTCTTTCTGAGAGCACGCAGGACGGGGTGTCTCAGGAGGGTCGGGACAAAGGCAGACTCAGCCAAGTGACGCTAAAGGCCCTGAAGAGCCGCAGCGGGTGGCCACATTTTAAGGACGTATTCATGTTAAATTCTCTTGACAGAGAAGATGTGGAAACATTAAAGGTTAGAGAACACATTTAAGAGTACAAGATTAGCTTTAAGACCAAAAACAGTTTAATCTCAAGCATTTTGCCTGTGTTTGAACATTTGTGCAACAGAGGTACCTGTTCGAAGGTGCAAAGCCTCGCAAGTGGCAGTACCACAGTGAAGTACTGACCGATCAGGGTCCGGAGGAGGTGTGCAATAACACCATCAGAGAGAAACTATTACAGCATCTCCCTAAGGAGGTGCCGTACACTATGTCACAGGTGGGTTATGATTTTTGGTGTATGCATTTCTGTACAAAAGTTGTTGATCAAAAATTCTGTGAAACAGGAATATTGTGAAACATTATTAGTGTATTTTGGAATAAATGTAATCACCAAATCAGCATATTATCAGTATGATTTCTGAAGGATCATGTGACTGAAGACTGGAGTACTTCCATCACAGGAGTACATTACATTTTGAAATATGCTAAAATGTAGTCATTCTGAAATTGTTATTTTCTTGTTCTGGTCTGTTTTTTCTTTCATCATTAATTTGTTGTTCTCCTGTTAGAAAACACACATCTGAGAGCATAAATGCTCAGAAGAATATTCCAAATCATTGAAACTGGATTAGTATCCAATTCAACCCTAGTATGATTCTCATAATTTGTAAATTGGGAATTTTTTTTCCACAAAACCTAGACATATATCTGTCTGTCTGTCTGTCCATCCTCCAGAATATTTTCCATTAGTCAAAATATGAATTGATGTTTGCTGGAATGTTATTATTTTTATTTCTTATTATTTTGGTCTTTTTACAGCAAATTGAAATCTGGAAGGAGTGTGAGGATGGGGTACTTGAAATATGCATCAAACTGTACGTGAAGAAAGACACTCATATGGTGAGCTCTCTGTTTTCTGAGAAAACAAATTAAACACAACTAGCCTTCCTTGTTTAGGAAGGCTAGTTTCTTATGCTGCTGTTTTTACCATCAGGGAACCTTACTTTTATAGTAGACATTTTGTGGATTTTTAGTATTTTAAAACAAATAGCTGAAGAAATGGTAACATTATTATAATACATAATACAATTAAACCTTTTATTTCTTTCTTGCAGAAAATGGTAATTGGTCCTGGAGGTCAGTTGATAACCAGAATAACCCAGGAAGCTGAAAATGACCTAATGAAGATTTTCTTGCGTAATGTGCGTTTAAAAATCTCTGCGAAGCTGCAGAAGTGAGGTTCACAGTTCAGATGACGAAGGTCAGAGACTGATGCATACAGAGGGATACGGAAACAAAAAGCGATTTAAAAGTGAAGAAATGGACTTGTACAGAAAATCTGTGTGGTTGATCTCAACAGACCCTTCATTTCTCTAAACTGAAATTCAAGTTGATCAAAGCCACATTACATGGTTTACATTACATTACAGCAAAATTGAACTATCACAGCTTTTGATTTATAAAAATGTCTTTATATTCATAAATGGCAAAAGTATAGCTTTAAGGCTCAGGACAGGTTCACTTTCTCTCTTCACTTTATTTCTGGAAGCAAGGGCTGACCTTGTTTTTTTTATTCATCATTATTCATTGTCCTCAGTGTGGTCAGGCTGTTATCCGGAGTCTTGCTGTTTAATTGAAGGTCTTATGTAAGACCATTACACTGGCCTGAAATCAGTCATCTGCAGGCCTGACTTCAGCTCTAAAATATAAGGTGGGCCACAGGACTGTGAGAGGGGGCTGGACCGTCGGGGTGGGACGAGCCGGGACTGCTCAGCTGTGGCTGTACATGCTACTGTACTTACTGCAGCAAAGTGGAACTCTTTTCAATTATTTAAACCTATGTGATATTACATTTTTCACCAGTTGAGTAAATTCATGCATCCATTTTAGTCAGTGTTAAATGTTTTGAGTGATAAAGAATAGGCAATAAAGTTCTCATGTTGCTGGACTTCCTGTGTTATGGTCACTTTGTCTACCGACAGCAGAAGTCAATGCTTTTACAGCAGGAAGACAAACATATACACCAATATTATGAACTACGTACACATATGGAGTTAATGGAATAATCTCATTCATTCACTGAGCACATTTGTGTAAATCTCACCAAGGCTGCATTTATTTGTTGAAAATACAGTAAAACAGTAATATTGTGAAATATTATTACAATTTAAATAGCTGTTTTCTATTTAAATATAGTTTAAAATGCAATTCCCTGTGATTTCAAAGCTGAATTTTCACCATCATTACTCTTCAGTCTTCAGTGTCACATGTACATTCAGAAGTCATTCAAATATGCTTATTTGCTGCTCAAGAAACTTTTTTATTATTAGCAATATTGAGAACAGTTGTGTTGCTTCTTTTTGAGGAAACAATGAAATTATTTTTAATTATTATTTGATGACTAGAAAGTTCAAAAGATCAGCATTTATTTGAAATGCAAATCTTTTGAAAAATTATAAATTTCTTTACTGTAACTTTTTTATGCATTTAATGCATCATTGCTGAATAGGAGTAAATAAAAAAAACACCTTACTGATCCTGTAAGTTTTGAACAGTAGTGTATTGGTTTTTTTTTAAAGATTAAAAAAAAGTTAATTAAAGATTCTCAAAGACCCAGAAGCACAAGTGCAATCTTAATAGTCAAGGTTCCAAAAAGTGTATTTTTTTTGCATTATTTTTTAGTTCCCCAAAGAAACTTTGAATGAACAGTTCTTTAAACAACTTTTTTTTTCTTGGTGTGAATATATATATATTTTTAATCTAAAGACCCCTTTTTCCCAGTATAAAATGCAATATAGAGTTTCCATGGATGTTCTTAATTGAAACATAAAGAAACCATTTTTTTAAAGGTGTTTTATAAACATGCCACCGTCGCAAAAGTGGCCAAAAGTGGATTATGAAAAGCTTTCAACACAACTGACATTAATAAATCAAAACAAGCAGAACATTTAATTCAACCTTCAATGATATTTATTGAAATGATTCTCAAAGACAGTCTCATAAAAAACTATAGGCTAAAAAAAGTTGAATGGATGAAACGGATCAGAATTGCATTGTTAGCGTATTTAATCCATTTAGCATTTGTTTTTCTGCTCTTTTTATCCATCCGCTCACTGGACCGCCTCATCCGTCGCTCTGAAGTTCACTTGACACGTGCCTTTTCCACTCATATCCAGATGATTTTTGAGAGAAGTCAATAGAACCCTTACCATTACTAAACTCAGTAATGGTAACGGTTTAATCGCCACTCTCTGTCAAAGTGTTTGCGGGTCCAGGAAACTGTCGGAGGAATATTGACCCCCCTGGGTAGTACATCATCTATACTGTAGTGTCTCAATAATGAACTTACAGTATACGATGATATCCTGTCTAGAGGGCAAGACTGATGAAACACTTCCACTTTGGAAATCCACTGAACATTCACAGCCACTATTTCTGACATTTCCTATGATCGATTGTTTAGTTTATCTAAAGATTTAACGTTCTTTTTAGAAACATTTGACCGTTGTTAGAAATGTTACATATTCCAAATCAATTTACAAAAACTGTTAAGAATAGTTTCTATACATATGTTTCTTGAACTACATTATTATCAGTTCAGATGGTCTAAATTGTTAGATTTATTTGTTTCCAAAAGGTTCTCCTGCAGAAATTCTTGAGAGATGCTCACACCTGTGGAAGATCCACCACATGGGTCTATTCATCTGAAAGGAAGAGCAGCTGCCATCCTGTAGTTCATAGTCACCGGTGACACACTCACCTTTAGGTCTGCGTCCTCGGTAAGTGTCGAAAACAGTTTTAATTGCCTTCATATGTCACCTCTAGCCGTCTTTTCACAAGTCTGTTGTCTCCATGCTGTGAAGGGATCGTAAACTCTGCCCCCTTGGTTCTGTGTTTTTTAATGCTCACTGCTCATTTGCATATGATGACTCAAAGGCTGTCCCATCCTTATCATGCTCTTCCCTTCACTCTGCTGACCAATCAGATTAATCCCCTATATCAGACCCTGAACAGATACTTGGTACCAGGACTTGCTCTCACGCGAGTGTGTGAATCCACACCCAAACTCCCCCACCCCGGGAATAAATTTGAAATTGTACCAGATAGTTGGTGGAAAATATTTAAGATCCAAAAAACATATTTAATGCATATTATATTGGTTTCTTAAGCTGTTTTATAGCCAGAGGTGCATATTACAATAAAAATGTTGTAATACAATTACGGATTACACGATAAAATAATCTTAAAACATCTTAGATTTATATTGAGTTGATTGAACTTAAATATTTTAAACGTCTATATTGAGACTATGAGGGGTTTACCAAAACATATGTGACCCTGGACCACAAAACAAGTCATACGGTACGGGTATATTTGTGGCAATAGCCAACATTACATTGTATGGGTCAAAATTATTATTATATTTTAATGGATATTAAGTAAAGATCATGTTCCATGAAGATATTTTGTAAATTTCCTATCATAAATACATATTTTTGTGTGTGAATGCAGCAAAATTGCGAACATTAATGGACAACTTTAAAGGCAATTTTCTCAATGTTTCGATTTTTTTGCACCCTCAGATTCCAGTTATTCATACAGTTATATCTCGGCCTATCCTAACAAACCCTATACGTCAATGGAAAGCTTATTTATTTTGTCAATTTTGTATTCAATTTATCCACAAGATGGATTTCATGACATTACAATAGTGCAATATATGCATGATTCATGGATCACAGTGGCCAATTGTTGATTGACTACTAAAAAAAATGTCCTCATACCCATGTGTGAGCTGTGACAAATTAACCTGATTCTACATCTGTAGTTGTCCGCAGCGTCTAGATGTTAAAGGTCTATTGGCTAACATGGGAGTGGCCCCCCACAGTTACTGTGGAGACAGACTCTCAGTTAGGGTGGGGTTGGGGGGTGTTTGTGACTGCTTGGGCCATGCAAACTGATAAAAACAAGATTGTGGCCTATCTGAGTTACACCAGCATGTAGCAAGCCTCTGACGTCTTATCTGCCTCTCGAATAGATGGACATTTCTGTTAATTTTTGATGATTTCACTGAATTTCACTGCCACTGGCTATGGCCAGTTAGACATGAAGGGTGCTGGAAACCGCCTCTTATGAAACACTAGTATTATTCCACTGATCAAGCTGATTTGAGATCATTTAAACTTGATGGTCGTTGAGTGCTGGCATAATGTGTGTGAAGATTCAATTCTTGGAGAACAGTCCTGCTATATCAGCATCTTTTTTAGCAAAGTACTTGTTCACCAAAAAAAAAAAAAAAAAAAGGAATTGTGTCATCATTTACTCACCCTTAAAGGGATACTCCACTTTTTTTTGGAAATAGGCTCATTTTAAACAGTCAAGTTTTACCGTTTTCGAATCCATTCAGCCGATTTTCTGATTTTTAGAAGAATATCAGCAACCAGACAGTTTCTGGTCTCATTTACTTCCATAGAGTATATATTTTTTCCCTACTATGGAAGTCAATGAGACCAGAAACTGTCTGGCTACTGATATTCTTCTAAAAATCAGAAAATCGTCTGAATACATTCGAAAACTGTAAAACCCAACTTTTTAACTCTGGGGGAGTTGTAAAATGAGCCTATTTCCAAAAAAAGTGGAGCATACCTTTAAGTTGCTCCAAACCTGTATGAGTTTCTTTCTTCTGTTGAACACAAAAGAAGATATTCTGAAGAATGCTGGTAACCAGACAGTTGACGACACACATTGACTATTTTTTTTCCCTACTATGGAAGTCAATGAGACCAGAAACTGTCTGGTTACTGATATTCTTCTAAAAATCAGAAAATCGTCTGAATACATTCGAAAACTGTAAAACCCAACTGTTTAACTCTGGGGGAGTTGTAAAATGAGCCTATTTCCCAAAAAAAAGTGTCCCTTCAAGTTGCTCCAAACCTGTACGAGTTTCTTTCTTCTGTTGAACACAAAAGAAGATATTCTGAAGAATGCTGGTAACCAGACAGTTGACGACACACATTGACTATTTTTTTTCCCTACTATGGAAGTCAATGGGGGCTGTCAACTGGCTGGTTTTGGGTGAACTATTCCTTTAACAAGATGATTAGTAATGAATTATTTTCAGGTAGTTTACTGTAAACTGCTTTGAATGAAGAATACTAAATGATTGACAGTTTAGGACAAGCCAAGGGCTCCTTTGTGGATAGACAGACTGAGGAGGGACCCCGGTTATAATATATTAAAATTAGTGTTACACATATAAGTCTGATATATAACGTGTGTACTATTTAATGGGTTTACATTCCATTCACATCCATTAAAACAAATTAAAATCCATAAAAACATTTTCTTCTGCATTCTCTCCTCTATCTTGCTTCTAGTCTAGTTGTCTAATAAACCGGGCATTGCATATTATGAATTACTAATTGCTTTTGTACCTCTTTTCAAAGTCACTTTGTATGAAAACGTGTTCTAAATGCATAAAAATAAAATATAAAATCATTTGTAATTTGTATTTATTTGTCATTTATATTGATGAGTAATCTTAGTTACTGTTTAACTTTCTTTACTTAGTAATCTAAGTAGTCTAAACTATTTAAATAAGCTTTGTCAGATGTTTAAACAGACCTGTCGATTGTTTTAGATTAAATGTGCATCATTTTATCTCTGTTCGTTGAATCCAAATGTAATAGTCATTTAATTTAATCATAATTTAATAGGAATCCATGCCTTCCATCAGAAATGTTTATGAAAAAAAAAAAAAAAGATTTCCCAATGCAGAGTTTGCAATGGTTTCATGTTGGTCATGTGGAACTGAACTGCATTGACCAACTGAAAGCTGCTTTTTTTGAAAATGACTTCTGTGTGAGCTGTGCTTCATAACATTGTTATACAACAATATACTCTCCTGGGAAAAAAAAAAAGGATAACAAGCTCAAAATGGCTAAACACCAGCTTTTAATTGTCTTAACTGCAAATCATTGGTCAGGAAATAAGCATTGCATGCAAATGCCCTACTTAAAAAGCCATTGCAGACTCAGAAAAATATCAAAGACAGAATGAAGTTTTTGGCCGAATATGGGAGTGTCTGCAAAAACGAATGACATTGAAACACCAGTTGCATGGTGATGCTCCAGATGTGTCTTTGAAAATCTGGTGAGAAATATAACAATAAATATCTGTACCACAGTGTACACATTTTAGTTGCTGGTATTGGTGAGCTACTTCACTGTGAAAAGTCATTTAATGCTTTACAGTACAGGAGAATATTGCAGAATACATTGCTTTACATAATTGAAAAGTCATTTAATGAGGAATGATCCGATGTTATTTTTCATCATCAAGATAATGCTCCTGCCCAATTTGCAAAGATCCAAGAAGTGGCTTGAGAGCAAGTCCATCATCATCAGTGTCATATTCGGCCTGGTCGGAGTCTAGATATGAACAATATTTGGCCTCACATTAAATTCAAACAAACTGGGAGACATTTTTCAACTCCACATGAACTGTCTGAAGCAATCAACATACCCAAACATTTAACAAAGGGGAAGGCTTTTCCATGCTTTGGTATAGTTTAAATGCAATTCTTGCTAATTTCCTGACCAGTGATTTGTGATAAAATTGGTTGATTAAAAGAATTAAAAGTAAATTAAAAAAAAAAAAAGAATATTAAAAGACTACTACATATTTTGTCATTGTTGCCTTGGTACATTCTTTTAACCTTTTACATTTTTTTTTGTCCACAAAACTTGGCTAGTGTCCACATGTTAAGAGTATAAGTCATTTACTACTTGAAAATAAACTTGGAGGTGTTTAGCAAGGTGGATGTAACTGCCTAAACACATCCAAAACCAGTATAAAAAATGCACTTAAGTTGCCATAAATGAATACTGCTCTCCAGGATTATTTTGTCAGGCCTCACTCAATGGGTGCTTTAATAGAGAAGCCCTCAGCAAATGACCTGAAACCTATTCAAAAAACGACCTATTCAATGCATGATTTTAATGTTCAAGACTGGAAATTATCCACTGAATGCTGAACTGTGACAGTTCTACCAAGAGCCAATAAACAGTGAAGACTTCCTGCAGTAATGAGGGGACAAACTGCTGGTGTGATTAACACCAATATGTGCGTGTCTGTATGGGTTTAGTGGAAGTGTTAGGGAACCCTTGGCCTCCAGAGTGAGATGGACCCCCCTTTCCCCCAGATCCAGAGAATGTTGTTTCTACACACCTATGTGGGCAGGCTGGAGCACAAACTGGGAACCGGGAGAGACAAAGAGACAGATCAAAGACGAGACTGATGTTTTGACAGAAGTGCACATACACACCTCTGTCCTCTTTGAAGTGATGGAAAGGTAGCAGCCTAAGGAAAGTTGCTTGCAGGAAGCGACAAACCTCTGGACAAGTCTCTTTAGTTTGCTGCTCCCATCTCATGGTCATGTATCTCCCAGAGGAACGGCCTGTGCTGGACTTACCTTACCAAATGAATCATTTAGCTAATAACTATAGATATTATCCACAAGGTAAGACTGTCTTTCCATTCCTCACATTTTGAGAAGTTCAAATTCAAAAGACTTAACATTCAACAAACAAGTGTGGTGCTGGAGAACTAATGTTGTAAATGAAAATGTGAAATGATTCTGTTATTGATTAGACTGTAAGGAACCCATCTGCCGAACTCAGCACAGCACCGATGGCAGGATGGGCAGAACTGAAGCTGAATTGACCTCACTGCCGGTTCACGTGTCACTGCAAGATCGGGAGCTTTGGGATAAATTCAGCGGTTTCGGCACAGAGATGCTGATTACTAAATCTGGAAGGTATGCACTTATGCGGGATTGGTACTTTTATGCTTGGTGTCACAGACCCAGACTGAAATGCATGTTTGAGCTGTTTTAACTGAAAGCAACTTGCACTGACATATCTTAAAACATGCCTTTATTTTTTTTCTAAGGAATTTTCATAATTTCATAATCTAAGTCCTGTCTGTGAAACCAGACCATGATGTTTATACTATGGAATTTCAACACAACAAATGGAATTGTGTCTGGATTTACACCTATTTAGTGCAAGAAATCTTAAAGGGATACTCCACTTTTTTTGGAAATAGGCTAATTTTACAACTCAACAGTTGAGTTTTACCGTTTTCAGATGTATTCAGACGATTTTCTGATATTTAGAAGAATATCAGTAACCAGATCGTTTCTGGTCTCATTGACTTCCATATGGAGAGTTCCTCTGCTCCTCTGCTCATTTTACAACACTGGGGGAGTTGCAAAATGAGCCTATTTCCAAAAAAAGTGGAGTATCCCTTTAAATATTTGTCAAGTCAAGTTACTAAGAGAAAAGGTGATCTTAAGTGAATTCATTGTTGAATATTCTTGATCACAAAATAATCAATAATGCCTTTTTAGAGGGCATCTTCAGTCTTCTAATATGTGATGACTAATTGTTATGGTGTGTTTCCGGTGTACTTTTATTTCAGGCGTATGTTTCCCAGCTGCAAAGTAACAGTGACAGGACTGAATCCTAAAGTCAAGTATGTGGTGATAATGGACATGGTGCCGTTTGATAATCGCAAGTACAAGGTACCTCCCCTCCACTCCTCCCTTATGGCACATACACGCATACTCAATCCAAACCCCTCCATTCTCCCTGACAAACACACATACACTACCATTCGAAAGTTTAGGGTCAGTATAAGATTTTTCTTTTAATAATTTAATACTATTATTCATGGCACAAAATATCTCAATCAATCCTGCTCTTTTTAACTTTCTATTTTTTTTTTGCTTATTAAGATTCCTGAAAAAAAAAAAACATGTTTCCACAAAAATATTAACCAGCACAACTCATAACATTGATAATAAGAAGAAATGTTTCTTGAGCACCAAATCAGCATATTGGAATGATTTCTGAAGGATCATGTGACACTGATGCTGAAGATCCAGCTTTGTCATCACAGAAATAAAGCACAATATAAAACAGTATAATATTTTACAATATTACTGTATATTACAATATTACTTTATTTTGACCCTAGAAATTTGCCTTGGTGAGCATAAGAAACTTTTCAAAACGTTTTGAGTTTACCATTAAACTTTTTTAACTATCAATGTTCAAATTGCTTAATTAAAATGAGCTTAATCAACACAATTGCTGTACATTTTGTCCAATCTTAATTTGATTGCGTTCAATCTGCTTAAATGTATGTAAAATGTAAGTTTACTTAATCCGTTTGTGTTGGATTACATGAATGATTTGTGTTGCATTAACTGAAGCTGTGGGCGGTGCTTGTTAGTTCCCATTTTAGCTCCAGGTGACTTTTTTTTTTTAAAGTTATGAACAAAGTCAAAGACTATAGCCTACTACGCTTTTATATTGTTGCAGTGGAATAAGGATTGTTGGGAAGTGAACGGTTCAACTGATCCACACCTGCCCAATCGGTTCTTCATCCATCCAGACTCGCCTGCACCTGGAGAGAAATGGATGCAGTATCCAATCTCCTTCCACAAGCTCAAACTGACCAACAACACGCTTAACTCCAATGGCTTGGTGAGCTTTTAGAAATGGGGGGGAAAGGTTCTGGTTGAAAGGTTAACAAAGAACGCATATTCATAGAAAGTATGTTTTTCAGTGTTCAGGGTTATATTTCTGTTTCTCTCCACGTTCATTAGGTGGTTCTCCACTCCATGCACAAATACCAGCCCCGTCTACACATAGTCCAGTCTCCAGACCCCTGTAACCCTCACAAACCTGGCGGTTACCTGCGCTTCACCTTCCCTGAAGCTGCTTTTGTAGCCGTCACAGCCTACCAGAACCAAGAGGTGAGCACAGACATTTCTCATGTGATGAATACTGTTTGAATTTTTTTTTTTTTTTGGAGTTCCACTACCATCTAGTGGCTCAAATTCACAAGGTTAAAGACGTATCAATGCAGCTTAATTAAAAATATCCTTTATATATCCTTAAAAATATCCTATATATATATATGAAGAGTTCAGATGCAAAAGCCTCTAAATGCCATTTGAAATTTTCTTCTTTAATGATGATTTTTATCAAGCTTGTATATTTAAGTTCAGTAATTTCACTTAAATAACAATTAATAGGTAATTATCATTGCCATTTAAGTGAAATCACTGAACTTAAATATACGAGCTTGATAAAAATGATCATTCTAGAAGAAAATTTCAAATGGCACTTAGAGGCTTTTGCATCTGAACTCTTCATATATATATATATATATATATATATATATATATATATATATATATATATAAATCTCAAAATATCAACAATTTAAGTGAAAGCTGAAAAATTAACCAGATGTGTGACTTCAAAGAGTCTCTCTTTTCTTCCTTGATTAATTATTTTCTATTAGTCAATTTTCTTTGTATGATTTATAAGTGTTAACTGGCATGTCTCTGGTTTTTGTTGATGGTACCCTTAATTTTCTTCCTCATCAACACAGATCACAAAACTCAAGATTGACAACAACCCCTTTGCCAAAGGCTTTCGTGACAATGGACTGAACAGGAAAAGGTGAGTAACAATTCAATCCAAAAAAAGTGTGAGAGCTATTTTCATAATTTCTTTCTTTAATTCAGGAACATTCACCTACAAATGTCTCCTTTAGAGAACATGGCAGTATCAGGGCTGAGTAATTGTAATTTTTTTTCAACTTTTAATGCAAGTAAATGAATAGATTCCCATCATTCCAAAGGGCAAATCAAATGTACATAGTGTATTTAATAAAATTTACATATCGTTTCCTGTCCTGACTATTGAAATGGCCTTCACCCTGATAAATAATTCTGATATTTTGTCAATATAACATTTATAATTTCTACTCATAATAGGTTTAGAGACAAAGAGACCCAAGAAACCAAAGATTCAGATGGACAGGACAAACGAAATTTGACACCAAATGAGCGTGGTATGTGTTTCTGCTGTAATGAGCTGGTGCCCAGCAGGTGGCAGCACAGGGGATTCATGGCAATCATGAGGGTCACCTTGATGTACCCTGCATTTCACTTAATACATAATTAGCTGGTTTTTTCTCTCTCTTTTAACTCTTTGAATTAAATTGTGTAAGTTTAGTTTCACTATTTCTGCTTTTCTGTTGTCCAATAGCAGTGGGACAGTCACAGAAAGACGAGGAAGTCGACGTGACCGTGTCCAGCTCTGTTGACCGCACCCTTATTTCAGACGTGGCTTCCTCGGTCACCCCAAACCCTTTCATATCAGCCTTCAATAGCCTCAGCACGGCTGGAGGACCTTCACCCCAACAGACCCACACCATTCTCAGCCTCAGCAACAGACACCTCAACAGGTGAGTCCAGCTTTGTGTGATCCAGTGATTATCAAAATATAAACATAGTATAATATTTTTCTGTTCTGTTGTACTGTAAAATACTCATTTTTGCTCTGAACCATTTTATTATACATTTTTTTATTACATTTTATTATAGAGATTTAGTGGTAAAATATGTGAAAAAGATGAAAACCCCAATGGGAAAGACATTTTCTAAATATCAGCTAAGCTGTAAAATGTGGATTTACATGGACATATAGGGATAAAACTTGTACCCTTTATAGAGTTAAAAAAAAGCTCTCTTCACTATTCTGGATGAAAAACAGTGATCTTTGCTGAAAAAGTTTGCATCCCTGGAGATCAAAATGATCTCAGTTTATCCCTGTCTTGACAAGTGCTACATGCAGGTGTGACAGTCTTACAAATATGTTTTATTTCAAGTCCCAGAGAAGCCAGACCCTCCAGCCTCCGTAGTCTTTGTGCATCTCTGCCCATGGCCCAGAGCTCCTGTGTCCAGTCCTCCACAGCAGACCCAAACCTCAGCCGACTGCCATCTCAGATCAGCAGCCCTCTAAACCACCACCACCACAGCAGTCCCACCTCTCAGACCCCTGGCAGATCCATAATCCAGCTCCAGACTTATTTCCCTACCTCTCCCCATCCCTCAAGGCAATGTCCTGACATGGAGCTGCCTCCTAAATTGAGTCGGATGCAACTTCCTGAAAGTGTTCTGAGGAACCTGGAGATGACCCCAGTCTACGACTACGTTAATCCGAGACCCTTCACTGACATCCTCAACAGGATCCATTTTCGACCGTTAGCCTCTGGAACAGCAGGGAAGGGCCTGCAAAATCCCCACCACCCTGAGCAGTACTCCCGCGGGTCAGAACGAGAGCTGCGCCCGCAGATTTATCCAGCTGCTCAGGAATACATTGATCAACAATTCACATTAAACAGATCACAGATGGACTACGTCAATGCCAGACCACTAACTGAATACTATGGTGAACAGCAGATTGGGAAATGAAGTTTATCGGTTATCATCTAATTATGCCTCATTATGTTGCTCATGTCCAGCAGAGACTGCACTGCTTCAATCTGCATCACTAGTTTACAAACCAGATGTTGAACACACAGAGCTTGCCAACAAAAGAATGTAAATATTATTTTCAGTGGGATACAAGGTTGTTTGCTGTAACTGATGTCGATATTTGTTTCACAATTAACGGAATCCTTTGGCAAATAGCAAAACGGTCATCCGGCCCCCTCTCCATCTGGTATGGAACACACAATTTTTATTATCCAAACAATTCCTATCATACTCACCCCTTGATAATCCAGTTTCACTTGGAAATATGCCATATTACAAAGCAAGAAGTGTGGACTGAAATTCACGAAGTTGAAAGAAATCCAGATACATATCACATTATTATTACTGTCTCAATCATCTCTGATCTTGTGTTTTTTTAATATTTGTTTTATATTAAACCTAAATACTGTGTTCTGCATAGTTTTTTTAAACATAACTTTTCTTAACATTGTAGAAGTTGACTTACAAAGCCCATAAACTTGGAAATAGGCTCATTTTACAACTCCCCCAGATTTAAACTGTTGAGTTTTACCGTTTTCGAATCCATTCTGACGATTTTCTGATATTTAGAAGAATATCAGTAACTAGACAGTTTCTGGTCTCATTGACTTCCATAGTCAATGAAAAATATACTATGGAAGTCAATGAGACCAGAAACTGTCTATTCTTCCAAATATCAGAAAATCAGCTGAATACATTCGGAAATGGTAAAACCCAACTGTTTAACTCTGGGGGAGTTGTAAAATGAACCTATTTCCAAAAAAAGTGGAGTATCCCTTTAAAACTCTAAAATGGCAAAAAATTGACACACCAAAAAGACAAATAAATGAAGACAAATTTATTGACTATGATCAGAAACTGATTCCTAAATAGATGCATGTATGCTACATATTCGTTCATTAACAATATATAGGCATTAACTATTTGCACTGCTATATAGCACATTTTTAATTAATATTGTTAGTATGGAAACTTTACAAACTAAAACAAACACACTCAGCTCAGAAACAACAGCTTTTGTTAGTTTGGTTTAAGCATAGAAAAGTTTTTGAAAAGTTGAGATTAAATGTGTGCAACATCTTATAAACAATGGCTATATTTTCAGACCACAATTCCCTTTTCCCTGGCTGAAACGGACGTTGACATCAAAAACAACAAACAATTCATTTTGAAGAATGAAATTTGAACATCAATTTTAATGAACTTGTTTCTGACAAACAGGACTTTTCCCCCACAAATGTATTGTTAAAAAAAAAAATGTTATATTTGGCATCAGATTACTACCTATGATCAAAATACACAATGACTAATGATTCAGCAGCAATGTAGAATAAATGTTGGTAAACCGTTTTACCTACCGATGTTTGGCAAACTATTTTGTATGACTGAATGGCAAGCTGGAAATCAGAATAAAATAAAACAAAACACAAAAGCCTATTTCTCAATAGAAAAAAAAGTTAAGAGTTAAAATTCACATATATCTGACAGAGCTCTCACATTATCTGGATGTTGATAATTAGTACTTAAGAAACCAAAAAATGCATATGACATTATCTGATATTGTGGTTAAGAGGAAGTCCCGTCATACGGAGATAAACAGAATAAAACTAAGGAGATGGTAGATGTTCAACTTTAATTGCACAGCGTGTAATGTATCGATCTCTAAACTTGTAGATTCTGTACTGTCAGTTTGACTAAAGACAAGGTTTATAATATCTTACTTTCAGCTCATGGAAGAGGACTAAAGCTTTATCGTCTGCATAAACAGTGGGTTGAGGTAACTTTCCTGTGATTTTCTGCGATGAAAAAATTAAAGATACCTTCCTATATCCTGCTGATTCAGCATGTTTGGCCTATGCTTGGCATCTTGGTAAAAATGCACTTGGACCACATTTTAACATCCAAAAATAAGCAAAACATTATCAAAGAATATACATATGGAAATGATAATGAATCACATGGAGTAGTTCCACATGAAGGACTACATGGTGAACATGTGACCTGACCTATAGAACCCTAAAGCACATTTTTTAAAAAGCAACAGAACGATCATTCATGTCCACTATAAAAAAATATGAAATTACTTAATGTTTGAACTGTACAAAAAGATGTACATCTAAATGTGTCAAATAAAAGTCAGTCCTTCTCCTTCGTGCGTCACTATTTGACCTGAACAGCAAAGTCTTCACAATGACCCAGTTGATCAATCCACTAAACATGCTGTAACAATCCTAATGGCTCTTCTACACTATATACGTCTATATATTTTCATACACTGCATAAATGTTACTGCGATTACAATCTTAGCCACCCATCAAAATGGCAATACATACTTCTAACTTCTAAACAACTACTTACACATAGAGCTGCCCACAAGCACATTTTATGAAATCGTTGTGTGATTAACAAAATAATCTTTTTTGAGGTACGTCGTTTAAACAGGAAAAAATGTCAAATAAACAGACAGAAAAGGATATAAGTGATAAAACAAGAGCACACGCAGAGAATCTGGTCCTGAAGAGGTAAGGCACCAGGGGTCTAAAACAACAAAATCTTCAATTTCCTCATTTTAAAAAGAAAAGAGCTTTGTTTCTTTTCAAGGCAATCGATGTGGGAGTGTTGGAAAGGCAGCAGAGTGAAAGAGGAGTTCAAGCTTGAGGGCTGATCATTTTCTGCAGCAATGGGATCTGTAGAAAAACACGTTTATGTTTATACTGACAAAACACATCATATATTTTACTTATTCATTCACTCATTCTGTTTCGTGTCTGCAAAAAGTGATCAGGCTTTAGCCTTTAGCTCTTACAGTTACTGCAAAAGCTACACATATAAGGCAAATTATAAATGTTCAAAAGTTTGGGGTCAGTAAAATAAATAAATAAATAAATATATATATATAGAGAGAGAGATTTTTTTTTTTCAAATAAATGTTATTTTAATCTTTATATTCAAATAAGAATCATGTAAAAATGCATCACAGTTTCTACAAATATACTAAGCAACTGTTTTCAACATTAGTAATAATAAGAAATGTTTCTTGAGCAGCAAATCAGTATATTATAATCATTTCTGAAGGATCATGTGACACTGAAGACTGGAGTAATGATGCTGAAAATTCAGCATTGCCATCATAGGATTACATTACATTTTAATATCTATATTAAAATAGAAATCAATCATTTTAACCTGCAATACAATTTTACAATATTACTGTATTTTGGATCAAAAGCAGCCTTTATTTGAAAAACATTTTTTTTAATCTTGAAAACAGTAATATACATGAAATATTTGTATTCACCTTGGACAGATCCACCCCTGTGAGTGCGTTGACAGAAACAGGTAGTTCAGCCAACAGACGATTGACTTCCCCAGTGACACGGCCACCGTCACCGCTCAGGATCACAATCTCATTGGTACGGGCCAAGGGTGCGGACACCTTTTCAGCAATCTGTGATGGTACAAATTCAGCCACTGACATGTTAAGACAGTATTTAAGAGGATCATCTTTCAATAAAGACTTATTTAATAAGAATAGTGTTATTAAATATTAGTATTATTGGTCAGGTCTAAAAAAGAAAGAAAGCATAAAAAGTTGGAAAATATAGCAGTAATTTAATCCCACATATTTCTTTCGTTAAGACTTCTACACACCTTTGGCAGAGCCTCCAGGACGAGGGCGATCTTTGCAGCGTCCCCGTACTCCTGATAGGCCTCAGCTTTGAGCCTCATGCTTTCTGCTTCAGCTTTACCCACAGCCTCAATGGAGCCGGCCTCTGCTTCTCCAATACGCTTGATCTTCTCCGCATCAGCCTGTGCCGTCAACACCTTCTTCATCCTGACAGAGAGGAGCAGAAGTCAGATTGACTTCCTGAAGCCTCTGTTCTTCCCTTTCTTATCTGATTTACATGGATGGAATTCCCTTAAGGCTAGGGATGGGTACCGAAACCCGGTATTAAACGGGCCCCGGTACTGAATTTTGAAAGGCCGCTGTATCAATAAGCTCGGACGTTATCGGTTCTGCTGTTGGTACTGGAGAAATTAAGTAAATACACGTAAGTTGGGCTATTATTTATTATTCCTATCAGTGATGCGCGGGTTGATCCGAAATGAGCGGGTGCCTGCGGTCACCCGCGGTTACCCGCAGTTACGGGTCATCCAAAAATGTTTTTAATGATATTCGGGTTGCGGTCGGTCGGGTCGATGCCAATTAAACATTTGTATTAGTATACTAGACACAATTGTGGATGAAATATACAGCCCTACACATTATTGGCTGAATAACTGGCACGAAGATAACACACAAGCTCAGTCTAAACAGTTCTCGGTTCTATACTAGTGATTCGAGAACCGCTGTCCCTGTGCGTTCGGTAGTACGCAGTATCTATGCGCAGTATCAGCTGCTCGTGCTCATCACTTCTCTCAACAGTGGTACCAACATGTCTCGGTTCAGTGAACTGTTGGAGTTACTGGAGTAAAATAGAATTCAGGATATTGATTTATTTCGAGTCGGAGGCGACTGTCAGGCATGTCTGAAAGTAAGAAACTAACTTGTGGAGCAGCACTGACGCAAGACGCGAACTGTTTCGAACGATTCAGTTCGATTTAGTGTAGGTTCGACCGGTTCACTAAGAAGAAACGGTTCAAAAGAACGATTCGTTCACGAACCGGCCATGTCTATGATCACTACAGTCTGCAGAGATGGAGGCGGCAAGAGAAAAGGTGAAGACTGGGGAGTGGAAGCTCCGCAAATACACAAATAGAAAGAGTAAAAGTGTGGGAGACATTTGCTAAAATAATGAAATATGATGACCAAAGTGCTGGCTTTGCCTTTGTTATGTGTAGGCCAGGCCTACGTCTTCTTGCGATGCTGTGTTGTTACACGTCTATGGCCCAATAACGCTCCGATGAGCATTTACTACTTTTAAAAAATGCGGTCAGGAAGCGGGTCGGGTACAATATTTTTTAACTTTTTTTGCGGTCCGAGTTGCGGGCGGGTAGTTGAAAACGTCGGTCGGTTGCGGTTTGTTTATACATTGACCCGCGCATCACTGATTCCTATAAAGACGTTATTTTGAACATGTTTATATCGCCAGCCATTTCTACTGTATATATAAACTATATAAACTACTATAAAGGGGCAGCAGTCTAATAGCCTAAACCTGCTGACAATTCAGCCATTAATGCAAATCAAACAACAAAAGGCAGAGAAAATCACTCACAGCTTTTGAATGAGCAACTTTAGATTTAATAAGCATTATTCTATCTATGATAAACTATACAGTGCTATTTTATATTTGATTACTAGGTTTCTTTTCAGACAGAAACAATTACCTGAAAAGATATGTTAGTATATAATTTGTATCTTTGATTAATTGTCTTCTTGTGTTTGTACTTGTTTTTTTTCTTATGTGTCCTTTTTGTATAAACAGCCTGCACACTGCTGCATAACAAAAAGATATTTTTCTTCGTTTTGCTTTTTCTATTTTACATTTCAAAATATAAAGTTTAATTATGTTCTTAATTCTTAAAAACAAAAAATAATAATAATTAAAAAAAATAAAAAACACCAAAAAGAACCGATAAGAATACCGTTAAAGTACCGGATCGATAAGCGGTATCGGTAAGAGTAGTAATACCGATAAAACCTTAACGATACCCATCCCTACTTAAGGCCCTGACATACTTCAAGTGAAATCGAAGAATGAACTGGTATGAAGTCATTTCGAACAAAATCAAGCCAAAACAAAGTTTGCTTTGCGAATCGAACATTTACTTTGAGTGGTAAACTCTTTTGAACTAACATTGGTAGATAGTTAAGACTTTGTGGCTCTGCCTTACTTAACATGGAAATTTTCCCAAGTTCATTTCTTCTGTTCAGTCCGTCAAGGTCAGACGTGAGTTAAAACATGAAGACACTGGAGAGCTGCCTTGAAGCAGAGACTATTTCTCATGATTAATAATATAAAGCTGCTTGCTTTAAAGCAATCTATTGTAAAAAGTGCTTTAAAAATAAAATTGACGTGACTTTTTGGAGTGTTGAATTGCAGATTGTACAAACATATCCACATCGCTATGATTAGAGGATTTCTTAACTGCTCTATTCTCACCAGTTACTTTGTTGTGCGTTTATTTTGTTATTGAGAGAAAAGCGCATATGTGCTGGTTACGTTCGTGAGACAGCTGATTAGTACTCTTGTCATTGACCGCAAAACATCACCAACCCGTTGATCGCGGTCGACAAGTCGATCTTGGAAGCATTTTAAGTCGATCGCGAATAGTTTTTTAAAATCAGAGAAAAAAAGCCTATTGTGTGTAGTAAATGGTGTCTAGGGGATGCGGAGGAGCGCTGTTACAATCATGTCATTTTTGCCGCGCGCACCTTTAGGCTCAAGTGGACGCGTCGAGTTTAAACAAGGCTTTACGCTTTAACCAGCTCAGCCACAGTAACAGCTCATATTTAGCCAGATAAACTTTTACTACCCTGTTAGAAAACATTTATATTTGCATAGTTTCATGTGGTTCTTCTCCCTCGTTGTATTATGGGTTTGCTATGTGGGGAGAAATGTGTTTGTTACGTTTGTGAGACAATCTGCTGATTACTATTATTATATTATTAAATTATATATTAAAAACCTTGATCCTCACCTTACTATAGCTTTGTAAACTTTATCCATGATGTGGTTTATAATAGACTGTGGTACAGAAACTTGGCTTACTCTGGCTACTCTCAGCTGTCTCAGACAACAATATGTTTGTCCCGTTTAAGCCACCGTAGCTTCTTCGAAAGGAGGGGTGAGCAGTGGGCTGAGACATTAGTGCAACTTGCAACTGAACCGCTAGATGTCGCTAAAAAAAATACACACTGCACCTTTAAATAAGGACAACCACATCTTTCAGCTTTAACAGTCTCCTTTTCTTTTCCTGCAACTCACTAATTCCCTCTCATTTCTTTTACTCACTTCATCGCTTCTGCGAGCTGCTCCATCTTGTAGGCTTCAGCCTCAGCTGGTCTCCTCACGGTGGCGATCAGCTCTTTATCTGTCCTGAGGATCTCCTTTTCCTCAATGGTGATCTGCTTCTTTCTCTGAACCACCTCGATCTCAATCTCCTCCAGTCGGATCTTCTGCTGCTCCTTGGCTGCCTGAAGCTCATAGGCCAATTGCGCCTCAGCTTTCTGATAGAAAGAATGATTATATTTGGGAGTTGTTTTTGGGTGTCTACAAACCTTTGGCCATATATTGATTGCCTAGATTGATCTGAAAATTACCGGAGGAATAACTTTTTAAATAGCTTTATACCTTTGTGTTCACTTCTTGATTGAAGGCAGCCTTCTGCATCTCCAGCTCTCTCTTTGAGTCGGCCATTTTTGTATCTGCTTGGAATTTCACATCCATCATTTCCTTTTTACATTCTGCTTCCTGTAACAAGAGAATACAAGAGTACGGAAAAAAAACGTTTCACACCACTCACTCTTTCAATTTCATGCTTACAACCTACCACTATATAAGAATAGGACACAATTTGATGCCCCATTAATATTTTTGCCATCTGTTGAATTGATATTTTATCAACTGCAGTAAAAACTATTTTCAATTATTAATTTATTTTAAATACTTTTTTGCTGTATTTATTTATCAATAATAAACTTCAAACCAACATTCGGTCTTAAATAGCCAGCCCCTTGTCCATTTTGGCTTTATTTGCAACCCATTCTGCAGTACTTTTGATTTTCTAAATTTTGTCATTTCATTTTGAAGTCATCGCACATAAAAATTATAATATAATTGCCAAAAATAGTTATTATATATTATTTAAAATAACTGTTTTCTATTCTATACCGACATCTTAGTGGCTACAGTATGGTATTACAGATTATTTTGTTTTATTTTAAAAAGAGAGGCCCTTTTTTTGTACACTGGTCTTAGAAAGTGAATCTTTAGCTCACCCTGATTCCAGCATCTCTCTCTGCTTCGGCCACGCCAATATCAGCATCTCTCTGAACAGCAGCAGTCTGGGATTTCCCCAAGGAGCTCAAATATTCCACCTTATCATAGACATCCTAATAGAAGAAAACAGACAAGATTATAAGTGGGTTTGAAAGACATTGACTGATTGCTGTTAAAAACAGCATCAAATTTAAAAGCAAAGTAAAACAAAAACTCTCTCTCTCTCTATATATATATATAAATATTAAAGCAAGAGCACCTTAATAGTAAAGCTTAGGATCTCAATACCCATCCTGCCAACATCAGGTGCCGCCACCTCCCTCACCAGCTTGGCAAACTGATCTCTATCCTGGTAGATCTGCTCCACAGTCAGAGTCCCTATGAACACAAGCAAATTAGGTCAGCAAGAATGCGAGTTTCCGTATCCGTACTCCTCCATCTTCAAGGAAATTGATCAAAGGCTACACTATGTACAGTATCATACAAAGGACGTATCAAATTTTCAAATGCACTGCAAGAACACAAGGAACAAGGAGAGTAAGCTTTGAGACTACAACTACATTATACATAAACGTCCCAATGATCTGTTTAAAGATTTATGCTGCTCATCTGGCAAGAGCTTGAATCTAACACTAACTGTGCACCCGTTCTAAATTCTTCACAGTGAGGATAAGAGTGCGCTCTATTGGAGATAGACACAAGTGTCCAGCATCACTCACCCAGAATAGAGCGCAGATGACCTTCCAGTGTCTGTAGAATGACACTTTTTATCTCTGCCACTGTCTTGCCCAAGAACTGTTCACAGGCATAACCCAGCAGCTCTTTGTCGGTCATGACCTTCACCTGATAGCAGAACACGTACAGTTATGGTCTAATACTTACACACACGGGATCACAGCATGATATTGACACCTAGAGCTTGATAAAAATGTATGTCAGGATAACAAGACACATAATATGTCTTACTGTATGTATAAGTTAGAGACAGACTATTCTAGAAGATTTCAGCATCCAAACAGTCATATTATATATATATATATTATTTGATCAACTGTTTTGACCCATCTAAAAAGGCTATATTTCAGGTATGAGGGACAGACATTAACCAATAAGCACAACCAAATCCGCTGGATGCTGTAAAATAGTGTATAACTGAGTTAATTGTGGGGCATGCATCAATCCGTATTTATGCCACTGAATTGACACTTTGATCAGAATGTAAAAGAATCGTGTGTTTATGCTTAAAGAATATAAGGGTGGGTTGAACCAATAAGGATTAAATTAAGAAAAGGTTAGAGGGAAGCAAGGATTTGATGATCTAGGTTTTATTTGTGAGATGTGTTTAATTTTAAGATGTGAATTTAATTTTTAAGGGTGAATTTGAAATACCAGAAATACCAGTTAACCCATGTTGTTTTTCTTAATATTTTGTGACTTTTTCTCATTTAGGCTCATGAACAGGCGTAAAAAGTTTCAACACGCTGATAATGACACAATTTCTATTGCATTTGAGATATTCGTGGGTCAATTTGACCAACATATTTTAATGTTTTAAGGCAACTGTAAAGACCCAAAATAAGATATCTTGGTTATTTTAAGTTATTTTAGATTTTCACTGCCCTATGAAGTTAAAAGGGAGCTTTTATCACTTGTTTCAATGAGGAAAACAATATTTTGCCAGCCACAGATGGTAAAAAATAGCTATCATTTCTTTTTTCAAGCTATCTTAAATACCATTTAACCACTATTTAATTGTTTTTCTTGATATTTGTGACTTTCACATTTAGGGTCATGAACATGCATGCAACGTTTCAACATGCCAATGTGTAGTGAAATGTGCATACATAAATTGTTATATGGTCTTGTTGTTCGAGGGTCAATTTGAGGCAGCTATTCAAAAGCAACTGTATATAGACACAAAATAACAACATTTCTTTGTTGTATGTCAGAGCTCTTCAACTGTAGCCCTGAAAGTGCCAGTGTCTTGCTGAGTTTAACAACTTTTTTTATTTTCAAAGTTTGTGAAAACAAAAATGTTTCACCTGTTAACTGTCAGTCCACTTTTTGAGCATAGACAACTTAATTGTTATAAGTCTAGAATACTTTGAAGCACAGATTTAGGTTTGGCATCTTTTACAAGGAAAATGTCAGATTATTGTACAAGGTTACAGTTATGAAAAGTTATAGAGGTTAAAGTTTATGAACATGTAAAATATAAAAATATTTTACATGAAAAACGAGAGTCAGGGCATCCTTATTTTATTTTAACCTCATCACCTGTAAATTTAAAGCTAACCTAATCTCTAATTAAGAATTAAATCTGAGTTTAAAGTTATGGAGCAACAGGATTAAAGTTAATCTATCTTAAATATAAACTAAATCCTGGATCAAAACAATGGCTTAAATTTAAACCTGCTTATTTTTAAATGGTTTAAAGTTTGGTTTAAAAGTATTAGATAAATCTTGATTTAATCTAGATGTAACCTTAATCCTTATTGGTGCAACCCACCATTAATGTCTAATTACATTTCTGCAGCGGGAAGGGCTGGGCAATATATTGAGCATTTGTAATATGTTTGTGATTTATCACTTACAAAAATGTAAAATTAATAAAAGCAATATTGTGATCATTACTATGACTTTTTATCACACACACACACTTGAAATTGTTCAACCCCCACAGGTTTATTGGCAAAATTTGCAATGAACAAATCAAACAAAATAAGTTGAAATAGCTCAACACAACAAATGTTTTAAGACGTTTTAACAGAAAATGCTTTTTCAAAAGAAAAAAATTCAACAGAAAATGCTTATAATGACTTCTGCAGTCTCAAAATTATTCAAGCCCTTCATAGCAACCATCTTTAGTACTAAGTAGAACGTCCTTTTCCTGATATGACCTGCTGCAAACAAGATAGCTTCTTGCAGCGTTTCTGAGGAATCTTAGCCCATTCCTCATGAGCAATGGCCTTCAGCTCAGTAATATACCTGGGTTTGCGTGCTGCAAATCTCACCAGATACTTTCTATGGGGTTTAAGTCAGGTGACTGTGATGGCCACAATAGCATTTTCCAGGACTTTTTCTGAAACCAAGCCTTGGTGGAATTTGAGGCATGCTTGGGATCATTGCCCTGTTGTAAGGTCAAATGACGACCAAGCATCAGCTTCTTCACTGACACCATTACGTTTTATCCTAGGATTCCCAGATACTTCAATAAAACCATCTTGCCTTCCACAGGTTTCCAGTAATAGAGGATGCAAAGCAACATCAGAGCTTCACCAAGCCCCACCATGGCACGCTAAACTGTAGACACCCACAGTGTTCTATTCAGCTTATGCTTCATTCTTCTTCCTCCAGACAATCCGCTGATCCATAGGGCCGAAAAGTTCCAGTTGCGTTTCAGTGCTCCAAAGAACAGAATGCCAAAACTTCTGTGGTTTATTTGTCTGCTTTTGAGCAAATTGGATCGACTTTTCTTGTGCTTTGGGTCAGTAGTGGTTTACGTCATGGAGTTCTGGCATGCGTTTAGTTCTGTGCAGCTGAAACCTCAGAGCCTGTTGCCAACAAGTCTTGCTGAAGGTCTTTTGCAGTCACTCGAGAGTTTTTCTGAACTTGCCTCAGAAATCTGTTTGCAGCCGTTGATAGCTTCCTTTTACAGCCCCGTCCAGGTAGTGTAACCATTATTTCTTTAACTTTGAAATTGCAAACTATGCTTCCAACGGTGTCTCTTGGGAAAATTTAACCCCCTTTCACACAGAGATTCCAGAAAATACACAGATAATGTGACCCGGCATTTGTCCCGGGATTGTTTGATTTTGGTTCATTCACACTGCCAGTGATTTGCCGGGATCTGTAAGTGCATTCACACACAATCCACAAAGATCCCAGAAAGACACGACGTCAGGATGAGATGTGTAACGTACGAGTCGAAAACATGTACACGCGCATAGCCTTCCACAAAGCTGGTGAACGATCTCAGCTTCAGCGCGGATAGTGAGGAGCTCCTGGTCTCTGCTTCGTTCCAGTTTGCAGACATTTGTTCGTCCTTTCTTTGTTGATGACGAAAACAAACTTTCTTCTAAGAGGAACAGAGTCGCGCAATGGCACAAGCGTCATCACTATGACACATCCCTTACGGCATTGGTCCTCGCTTTTGTTTACACAGCGTGCGTTCCGGGACTGATCCCGGCAATGTTACTAGGTCCCCAACCCGGTATCAATCCCGGGTCGCGTTTGCGTTCACACAGAAGGCGTTCTGGCAATTTCTCAGCAATTTCTCGGGATCAGCGCACTGTGTGAAAGGGGCTAGAGTGTCTTTGCTGTCTTTTTGAATCCTGTTCCTTGTTTGTGAAGGGCGATGAAATCTTCACTTACCTTTTCTTCTTCTTGTTCTTCTTATTCTTTTGACTTAGCCATATTTCTAACTTGCAGTCAATCGTGAGGCGAACAAACCTCGCCAGTCCAGATATTTCATGTTCTAGCTCATGCACACCTGGTGCAACTAATGAAGCCCTTGATTAGTTGCATAAGGTGTGCTTGAGATAACACCTTTTTTGCAGATTTGTGCAGTTGTGAGGGATTCTACTCCAGAGGGTGAATCATTTTGAAACTGCAAAAGTCATTAAAAGTTGCATTTTCAGTTAAATTTGGGGAAACCACTTGAAACATCTGTTGTGTCGAGATATTTTAATTACTTTTGTTTGATTTGTTCATTGCAAACAGCTGAAAGTCTGAACATTTTGGCAATCAACCTGACTTGAATAATTTCGATTACAACTCTATATATATTATGAATACAAGATATACAGTACATTATCAAAAAGTCTATGATTACATTTTTTTTTTTATCAATATAGCCCAGCCCTAGTGTGAATTAACAGACCTTATATTCAATGTACAGGGTAGCAAAACCAAACTTGGTATAAATGTATTTTTTTGTTTGTTTTTTTGGGTAACACTCAAAAATGGCCATGCAAAACATAAAACAAAATAAAATAATGTCAGGAATTAATTGCAAGACATTTTAAATGCAAACATTGTGCAGACTCATACAGCCCACTACGTTGTGTAAACTCAAGGCCTGGACTTGCCCCTTCACCTAAAACTGTAAGTTATAGGTCGAGGAGAGACACTTTAAAACAATCTCCTTCCATGACTGTGAAAGAAAGCAGAATGAACTCATGCTGCAGAATGAGAGTGGGAGTTTTTGTGGGTTTAATATTCCGGGTAGAAGCCATCCCTCTGTACTGAACTATAACCAGGTTCCCATGTAAACATCAAAACTTTTTCTCAGAGCTGAAAAAAAATCTGCATGTGGCCTGGTTATTGCAGCAGTATATGATTATGAAAGAAGCTGATTTCAGTGCAGTCAATGGTTAACTTCAACCAACACTGGTAGGAGCGTGTTTGTGCATCCTCCCCATAGTCGAGCAGTCATCAAACAGGTGGCATTTTACAAGCAGTGCAATTCAGGGCAACATGCAGCCACAAATGTGGGTAGGGGAAAACATTAATCACACGCTGAATCTCAAATGACTCCATTTTACAGGTGTAATGCCCTGTGAAAATGGCATCAGGTAATGCGGTGATCAGCAACCATATTTCCACATACTGACATTTCATTTTCAGAGTAATCAGATTGATCGTCTGTTCACACAACAAACATTTTCTGAATGAACAGCTGTTAATGTGTCTTATGGAAGCTTGTTTTCGCTACAGAATGAAACATTTTAAAAGATAACTGCTTTATATCTCAGATTTGCGAGTTTAAATTAGAATTGTGAGACGTACACTCACACAATTGCATGTTATAAAGTCAGAATTGAAAGACAGGCTATAAACTC